GGGGAAAGGCCATATTGTTTTCCATAGCAGCTGCACAATTCCCATAAGCAGTGCACAAGGGTTCCAGATTCTCACCATTTAAAAATAATAGCTATTCTGCTGATGTTGAGTTGCACTTCCTTAGTGATGTTGAACATCTTTTCAGATGCTTTTTGGCCTATCTATTACTCTTTTCTTTTCTTTTTTTGCAATATTGGGCCTAGCACTTATTAGGCAGGTGCTCCACCACTATCCCTCTATCCATTACTTATAAGCAGTTGGTAAACTTTTTCTGTGAAGGGGCAGACAGTAAATATCTTAGTCTTTGTGGGACAGACTCAATTCTGCCATTGTAGCAAAAAGGTAACCATATAAACAACAACAACAACAAAAACCAAAAAAAAAAAAAGGTAACCATGGTCAATATGTAAGTGAATGGATGTGGCTGTATACTGATAAACCTCTATCTATAAAAGCAAGTGCCAAACAGTATTTGAGCCCAGGTTCATGGCTTGCTCATCTTTGCTTTTAAAGGAAGGAATACTTGGGTTAATTCAGCATTTCATTTCTTCTGTGGGACTATGAAGTATTTGAGGGAAAGGGCTCTATCTTGGTCACTTCCACATCCATTTGAATATAACAGGTGCCCAGTTACTACTTTCTAAGTTGACATTTCCTCCTTTCCCCCATGGAGAACAAAATTAGTGGTGCATGTATCTTCTAGTACTTGCTACAGAAGACATCTCAAAAGAGTTTCTGGGAGACAGACTGTCTTCACCCTCTTCCTTCCATTCCCCCCTACCTGACTCACTCTAGAAAGTTTTCTGGGAAATTCTAGGAGCCCAAGGAACTGATGTGGACAATCTTCTTGGGGCTAACTGGGTAGAAGGCAGACCTGGCAAAGGGAAAGCACTACTTTAGTCCCACCATCATTTAGAGACTTCCACAATCAATAGCTCAGCAGGGCTGGTGGAAAGAGGTGCATACTAGAATGGAAGATTCTTGTGTCTTACATCAGGCCTCTTTTTCTTTCTCATGGTTCTCAACTATCTCTTTGGTTTTTTTGAACCCTTCAGGTTAGAGCACCTCAGATTTGAGCCCATGTGCTGATTGTCTTTCCCTTTCATGGGCACCTTTGCTGTATTAGGCAGCCTGAATCTGAATGGGTAACTTGGGGCCTGCTGGCCTAGGGAATCCAGAGCCCATGGTCCCATGGTGGTTCTGTGAAATGCCTGCCCTTTAGTGCCCTTAGTTGTGGTTTCTTTTCTCTGGGGCTCCCCCAGATGGCCAATGCAGGAGTTGGTGGCTTTCTTCTGTAAACCCCTTCTAGTGTCAGCATATTTGTTGGGACCGTTCTCTGGAGCAGGTAATGAATGGAAAGCCCTTGGCCTTTGAGGAATGGAGAGGATCTGGGCAGCTATGGTAATGGCTACTGTATGTTTGAGGAAGTGCTTTGATGGAGATGCAGGAAGCCAGAAGAAGCCCCCTGGGGAAGGGGAAGAAGGCTGTAAGGAGGAAACGAGGATGGAGATGGAGATTGAAAGAGTGACTAGATGCCCCATGCTATGCAGGGCAGAGAATGCTGCCAGGAGGAGCCAGGTGGAGATGGAGGCACTGCAGGGAATGACGCAAGCATAAGCTGGCTCAGTGGGGATGGATGGGGGGAGGAGGAAGGAGGAAAGGTAAGAAGAGAGTACTTTCTACTAGCAAGGGCTGTCTCACACAGAAAGCCAAGAATCTTTGAGGAGGAGGAAGCTGAGTTCCTTGTCAGTGGACAGAAATGTGCAGCAGAGCCTGGAGGGCTGTGGCCAGAGTGCTGCCAGCCTCTGCATGGCTTCCATTCCTTACCTGTTTTGGAGTCATGAACTCCACAGTGGTACAGTTAATTCAGGAATACATGCAGACAGGGATACTCATACTGCCCTTGGCTTTGTCTCTTTTGGAACCTCTCTTCAAAGCATGCTTTCTGACAACTGCCAGCCCCCACCTCATTGTCTCAGTTTTTATGAGGCCACAGTACCCCTTGACAAGCTGGTAAAAACTATGTGCTCTTTACTACTAAAAGAAATGCACTCAAAGGCTGCATCTGACTTATGGAATTCACAGAGTTCCCAAATCCACACAAGAATGCTGTGTCGGGACCTCTGCTCCAACCCCACCTGGCTGGCTGCTCCCTGTCCCATTCCTTGGGCTATTTCCTTTTTTTTGGTGGCCACTGCTGTACTCTAGGATCCCAAGCAAGAGAACTGATTACCTATGTTTCCTGAGCACTCAATCTGAGCCAATGCTGATTTACTCTGCTCTCAAGGAGCTCCTGGCTTGGTGGGGATGGGAGAAAGCACGAAGGGGGAATATATGAAATGAGGCAAAGATTAAGAGCCACCGACTAGAAATCCAGAGAAGAGACAGATCAATCTGGGATTTGGGATGGGATAAGGGAGGGACTGGCTATTCTGGACCTGGGGACACAGTGGAGGGGGGAGGACACTGTCAGCAGCAGGGATAATCTGAACAAGAGTATGTATGAGAGGGCATGAGTGAAACACGGTAGTCCAATTTGGCTGGAACATAGCAGGTGTGAAACCCAGTGGAAGAAGTTGGAAAGGTGGGCTGAGAGAACATTGGGACCTGCTAACACATTTTTGGAGAAACAGGATCTAGGATGCTCCAGATGTGCATAGACGCTGGATTGGAGGACAGAGCAGGGAAGAGGCTGACAGATCAGCTGGCTGTCATGGTACACTCGACCTAGGTGCAGACAGTGCCAGGTGCTGAACCAGGTCAATGGCAATGGAGAAGAGGGACTGAAACAGATGATCCCAATGGACACACAGAAGTTGGCAACGTCTCCAAGCTGGGAGAGAACTGCCTTCCCTTGGCCCTAATTTGCCAGATAAGAAGTGCCACGTGAGAGGCAGAAATCTGGCTCCATGCTTTAGGCTACTTTAGGCCACCAGTCATGAGGAATGGAATGGGTAGGGGTGGCTCCCAGGACTTAGGCTTGTGATCAGGGCAACCTGTTTTGCAGTAGCTGAGATGAGGCTTTAGCTGGGCTTGGTGACCTGGAGCAGGCTACTTCAATGTTTTAGAACTCCCCCTGAGGCTTGTGGACACATAGTACCAGGCCTGCTTTCAGAGTCTCAGTTCAGTAGGTCTTGGGTGGGGAGGGCCAGTTTATATTTCTAATCAGCTCTCTGGAGCCCTGAGGCTGAGGTTTCTTGGCAGTTGGTCTTTCTCCAAACAAGTGGGGTGGGAGCAAATGGGCCTGGGTGAGGAACACAGGGAGTTGCCAACGCACTCCTCAGGTGGAGAGGGCATCTGTTTGGCCAGCTGGGAACTTGGGGTCTGTCTGGAGGACTCTCCATCTTCTTGCTAATTAACCTGCCTCATCTTTCAGGTCTGAGTGGACATTGCTTCTATGACTGCTCTGCCTCAGTTCCCACCTGGGCCGGCTTCTCTTGTAGACTCATCTCCTGCCCATGGCTTTCCTTTTCTGCACTTTCCCTTTCTGGAATTTGGAACAATTTACAGTTATGTATTGGCTTCTGTGGTCCCACTAGAATGTCCATTCAAGGGGGGCAGGGGCTGTGCATATTGTTTTCACTGCTGAAGTTCAGGGAAGCACCCAGTTAATACATGTGGACTGACTTGAGTGAGCAAAATGAGCAAGTACATCCTATGGTTTGGATCTTGAATGTCCCCTAAAGGCCATGTTGAAGGCTTGGACCCCATTGCTTGCTACTACTGGAAGGTGGTGGAAACTATAGGAGGTGGGGCCTGGAAGAAGTTAGATTAGGGGAATGACCTTGAAGGGGATAGTGGGACCTCACCCCTTCCTCTTTCTTTTGCCTCCTGATTGCTATGAGAACAGTTTTTCTCTATCATGCTCTCCTACCATGATGTACTCACTGCCTCACCACAGGCCCAAAAGCAACAGAGGCAACTTTCCATGGACTGAGTCCTCTGAAACTGTGAGCCAAAATAAACCTTTCCTTCTTATAAGTTGTTTATCTCTGATATTCTGTCACAGTGACAGAAAGCTAACACAATAGAAGACAGGAATGGATTGGACAACCTAGAGTTTGACAAGGGATCTCTTTGGTCCAGATAGCTGCTAGCATTTTTCTAAGGAAGCTGTAAGGACAAAACTGAGGGTAATTTGGTCCTTGGTGCTCAACAGCAAGGTCTGCTACCCTCTGAGACCCTCCTCCCACCAGGTCGAAAGAGTGCTCTGCAGCTGTGTCCCAGTCTAAGCTGGATCTTCCCTTCTGTGCTGAGCTCTGACTCCAGGTGCTTCCATTGAAGCCTTCATTTCGAACCCACTGCTATGCCATTGTTTGGGCCTTCATTACTTCCTTTCTGGTGTCCCAAGCTCCATGTAGGGTGGTCAGGATTTTCTTGATGCTTGCACTCCATTCAATAAACTGCCAATTGTGAAAACTATCACAGATTTCCCATGTTAGAATAAAGACTATCCCTCTGCCTCCCTCTTCAGCCTGACCAGAGTCCTGCTGCTCCCTGCCCCCCAGCCCAAATCAGCCCACTCATTTCTGAACCTAAGACACACTACCATTTTATGTACTGCTGAAAACACAACTTCCTGCTAATTAAATTAGGCCAAACCATTCAGCGTGAGATTGACTTCTTTAGCCTGAAATGCCAATTGGGGGACTATATACCTACTAACAATTTACCTACCCTTCAAGGTCAACTCAATATACCATATGCCCTGCAGAAGCCATGCCACCTCTCTCTGAACTCATTCCACTAGTGCCTGGCATTTCATGGGGTTGGGAACTCAACTCCATCATTCTAAGTGTCTCAGGGGCAAATACAGTGTCTTATTTACATTTGTATTCCATGGATCTGTTATCCTAGTATGGTCTCTTCTAAGTCAGAGCACAAAAACACAAGCTATATGGTTTGTACACTTTCATGTTATTCTAGTTCTCCCCATGCACCTCCCTACCCTTTATCAAAGACAAAAAGAAAATGGAATTCTTAAAATTACGGTTCAACTGGTTTGAGAAGAAACCAGGTTCTCCAAGGAGAACCTCACCTAAAAATAGAAAAAGCTAAATTATATGTGCTATGTTCTTTGGAAGTTGGCCTGAAGGTTTCTGTGAGCATGAGCTGCAGGGATGCAGCTCTTTCAGTGTCATCTCATGGCGTTTCAACTCCAAGGAGATGCAGGAGACTCTTCTCTCTGGCTCACTGCTAACCAGCCAACATAGCAGTCACTGTCACTAAAAACAGTAGGACATTGTTGATAAAGGAAATGTTTATAGAAAAACAACACAGGCAGGTACTGCAACAGTCCCTGAAAGAGAACTTGGAAGGACAGAAGGAGGTGAACAATTAGGCATCTTTTCTCCCCTCAGGGATTGGGGAGGGCATTACAGTCAATCATGCTTTTTTCTTTCTTCGCTAAACTGTGTTGACATGAAATACATTTGAAGTCTCAGTCATGTGTTCAAGGACAGTGGAATATGAAATGGGGTAACTTCAAGGTGGTTTCTGTAAAAAGGAACCCGAGAAAGATAGAAAGAGAGAGAGAGAGAGAGAGGAAGGGTGCGAGCGCACAAACAGTAGAATGAGGCTGCCAGCTTTAAGAAATTCAAATCCAGTCCTATGAAGGAAGAAATGTGCTGTTCTTGTCACCTTCACAGTCGTGGAAGGTACAGAGAATGTTTTCATCTAATTAGCAAGAATGTCACAAGCCAGGGTGTTATTGGCAAGGGCATGCAGTGAGGTGGCCTGGTTCCCAGGGTGCCTCACTTGACCTTCCGCAGGTGGTAAAAGCTCTGCACAGTCATCTCCACAGCATCATCCAAGGTGACCAGCGGCCGATAGCCTATGACATTTTTGGCTTTCTCACAGCTGTAGTAATGGAATGTGCCAGCCAGGGCGACACGCATTGGTGTGAAAGTAGGCTGGAGTTGGATGATGGGACTTATCACCATCACCAGCATGGATAGCAAGAGGGCCAGGTAGTAGGCCACCCAGTAGGGGATGTGGTACTTGGGAGCCTCATAGTTGAGGCCTGTCAGGATGCGGGACAGGAATGTCCAGAAAGGGATGGGTTCATCGTTGGTGATGTGGAATGCCTGGTGAAAGAACAAAAAGTTAGAATCCTCTCCTCAGCTGCAGGCATGTGCAGGCCACACCTGGGTCCCCAAGCTCACTCACAGTTGCTGGCTCAGCCCACAACTTTTATTGTGGGAAACCAGAAGCTGCTCCCTTCCTGGCCCAATTCTGTTTGCAGGGCAGCTAAACAATGAGGTGAATATTATTGGGCTTCCTCATGTGTGTAGCTGCTGCAAATGGACAGCATTCAGGGTTAGAGAGGGAAGGCAATTCAAGTCTTATGTATGGGCCAGGATTTTAAGTGAAGCTTAGGTTGCATTTGGGAAGGTACATTTGTTAATTTAATTATTAATCATGGTAAAACTCATCTTCAGATACAATGAATGGGTCATGTTACATTTCTTGAATATACCATGTTTGTTCTTTTTTTTTGTTTTTGATAGTACTGGGGGTTGAACTCAGGGCCTTATGCTTGCTAGGCAGGTGTGCTACCACTTGAGCTACTTTGCGAGCCCACTATGTTTGTTCTAAACCAAATGCCAAACCAACCCTATCCCTATCACCCCCAAAGTTATGAGCTGAAGACAGCAGAGGTTCTGAAGAATAAAAGAGAATGAGCACAGAGGAAGGATTCCAAAGCTAGGAGTGAGAAACAAAGAAGACGGGGAACCCTAGGAGTGGGAGGCAAGGGTGAGGAAGACTGAGCAGGCTCTCCCACTTCTGCTCTGCCTGCCAGGTGCCAAACACCAGAGACTTTGATCCATCACACCACTGGAGGGGTGACAGGCCTGAGCAGTGTGAGAATGTGTGGTCCAAGAAGGAAAATGAAGACCTGAGGAAGAAGTAGGAGAAAGAATGAGGACTAAACACTCTATCCAATGGGTGAGGGACACAGCCTGTAGTGGTCACAATGACAGACAGGTAGTCAGGTCATGTTCCACAGAGAACATGAGTCTCTGACCAACTGTAGCTCATTGGCTCCTGGATTTTGGCTCTCCCAAGTAATGTGATACTGCAATGATACAGAATTCCCTACTAGAGGGCCTCAACCATGGCCCAAGGGGTCCTAAAATGCTGGGAGAAGCAGGTGCCTTACCTTCCCACCTAGAGCTGCATCTTGGGAGAGGTTCTCTGCAGCCAGGATGTGTCCATGGACCACGTTTTCCACAAAGGTGAAGTCCACCAAGTTCTCCCCATTTCTGCAGGTGCACAAGGAACGGTTTAGTTATGCTGGGAATGCTCAGCTGTGAGTCTAGCTGAGCCCCTGCACATGAGCATTTTAGAGATTGCTACTTGCAGCACAGCCACTATCTACCTTGACAGTGCCTGCTCCTGACACACTTGCTTGCCTGTAACAGATAATGAAGGACAGCAGGCCAGAACTCCTAGGGCCCTTGGGGCAGTGGACTATTTAAGGGCCAATCAATGAATGTGGTGGCTTTGAGCCCTGTCTATAGCACCCCAGGGTGACCAGTACATTTGGGCTCTGATTTGGCAGCAGCTCTTCAACCCCTTCCCAGGATACACTGCGCCAATGCCTGGCCCTGCCTCACTGTTTCCTACTAGTCTCTTTGTAATCCCTCAAAGTGATAAGTCAGGGCAGCAGGGAGGCTTACTGAGAAAGAGGAAAGCAAAACACAGGGATAAAACAGGGAAAGGCAAAAAGAAACAAAGAAAGATAAGACATGTTTGGGAGATAGCCATACCTGTTGTCAGCTGCAGGGGCCTTTCCACCTATGTTTTCCTTGAGGAGGAATATAACATCCCCAAATTGCCTTCTAGATGCAAAGAGGCCTAGATGCAAAGAGGCAAACTGGCCTATAGGCCAGTTGATTCCTCTCTGAGGCTCAGTTTCCTTATTTTCCAAAGATTTTCTCAGCTTGCCTGAGAAGGTGTGTAGGGTTGAATAGGGTCCTTCCAAAACTTGTATCCCTTTGGAACTTATAAATGTGATCTTATGTGGGAATTATATCCTTGCAGATATAATTAGAAAAGGTAGTAGTGGAGTAGGATAAGCTTCAAGTCCAATGACTCATGTTCTTATAAGAAAATTTGGACACAGAAAGCAAAGAAGACAGTCATGTGAAAATGGAGGTAGAGATAAGAATGATGTATCAACAAGTAAGGAACACCAAGGATTGCTGGCAACCACCAGAAGTTCAGAGTGGCCTGGAACTGATTCTCCCTCGCAGCTTCCAGAAGGAACCAACCCTGCCAACAACTGGATTTTGTACTTCTAGCTTCTTTAACTGTGAGCAAATCAAGTTCTATTGTTTCAAGTACTAAGTCTGCGCTTAGTTATGGCAGCCCCAGGAAATACACAGGACAATCTTCACTGTGATGATATTAAGAGGTGAGGGCTTTGGGAGGTGATTAGGCCATGAGAGTTCTGTCCTCATAAATGGGATCAGTGCCCTCATAAAAGAGGTTCGAGGGAGCCCATTTACCCCTTGTGCCATGTGTGAGGATACACAGCAGGCACAATCTATGTGGAATAGGTCCTTATCAGACACTGAATTTGCTGATGCTTTGATCTCAGACTTCCCAGCTTCCAGATCTGAGTAATACATTTCTGTTGTTTGAAAGTTACCCAATCTAAGGTATTTTGTGACAGTCACAAAAAGCTGCTTGGCTGCTCACAAAATGTTCTCTACATGTGCATTCACATGGATCAGGGAGGTGTGAAGATGAGCAATGGGGGCCAGCTTACCCAATCACAAACTTCATCTTGCCCTTCTTGGCTGCCTCGATGAGGATGGGGACCAACTGAGGGTCCCTTGGGCCAAAAATGCCATGAGGTCGGATGGCTATTGTTAAGAAATTCTTCTCAGGATCATTGGCATTTAGCACTGCCTGAAATGAAAGCAGGAGAAATGGTGTGTCCATTGTAGACTTGCAGCCTGAGGCAAAGATGGCGCCTGACTGAGTAGGCAGCAATTCCCATAGGGGGCAGACAGATGATGTGCTCTGCAGGGGTACAGGATACCAGGCAGTGGTCTGTCTTGGGATGATAACCCACATTAGTCACTGGTAAAATTCTAGGTTACCTCTCTATCCCTTTCATCCTCCAAAATCTGACAATGTAGGAGACAGCTGGGTAAAAACCAGTAAGATTACATTGAAAGGCCTGGGTTTGGGTTCAAAATCTAAGATGAACAAATGCAAGCCCAAAGATATACCCTGACAGCAGCTTGTAGAGAAGATCTGAGAGTTCCAGTTAATGAGTCAGTCATGAGCCTCCACAGAGGCTGCCACCATCAAAAGGGCTCCTTACTTAGGTGACATGTTCTGGCTGCACATTTCCCCCAGGCCAAGGCTGTTCAGTCAACACTGAATGTACCACACCGGACAAAAGGACTCAAAGTCAAGTGGGTCCCGAAGGGTCTGAGTAGGTAAAGGTTATGAAGTCCATGGCCTAGGAGAAATGGGCAGCAGAAGACATGAGCAACAAGTGCTCCACAAGAAAGCAGCCACTTTTCCTCTCATCACTACAAGGAGAGAGATGTCTTCTATGGGGTGTATAGAGCACTACAACACAAGGGCTTCAAGTACAGTCATGTACTGTAGAACAGTTCAGTCAACAACAGACACATATGTAATGGTGGTCCCATAGGAATATATCATCTAGTGATAACTACAGCCATCTTAGTTTAAGTACACTCTCACAATGACAAAATCAGCCAATTATGCATTCCTCAGAATGTGTCCCCACTGTTGAGCAACAGATTTTGCCTCAAAAGTAAGAAAACTTCCTGAAGGATTTGTTATATTGTTGGTCAAACAGGGATCATAAAGGTGCCTTCTCTGACAGGTGGTATGCAGAGTACATGAGATGACCCATGCCAATTATTTCAGTAACTGTGTACACTTGACCAAGGACACTTACTGTTGTGTCATGTTACCATTTGCACAAATTTTAGTCCCAGCCATTTAGAGTTACTTATTGACTGAGTTTATAGTGATCAGAGCTGCCCAACGATGGAGAAGCTGCTTCTTTCAACAATTCTTAGAGCTGTCCCCCCTTGCTGCCAAGGCTGTGATTCCTATGGTGATAGAGGAAATGATTAAGCCTTCAAACGACCTCTACCAAAGTTCCTCTCTGTTACTAAAGGCAACAGAGTTGAAGGATTCCTAGACTATATCATATTAGTTTATTATCAGTAAGAAGGTTAAAACCCACAGCAGGAGTTGGCTGAAAGGAGACTCTGGGTGAGTTATTATTGGGAGTCACTTATAGTCGTTGCTGACTTCCAATTGAGTGCCTCAAAGTCCATGCCAGTGAGACTGATGGCCTAAGCCCAGGCTTCTATTTGGAGTTCCTGAACCTTGATGAGTTCAGCTGTGGGTGGGAGTTCCAGTACCTCAGACGAAAGCACACAGGGTCTCTGAGTGAGAGTGAAGTTGTTTCAGGGCCCAGAGGAGACTTTAGTCCAAACAGTGAGAGCTCCACAGAGCAGGAAGGCATAGCCTCAACATAGGACTTCAGCTTGCCAAAGGCCAGGCCTGCACTCCCTGTTTTGGGGAGGCTTTTGTGTCTCCTGAGACTGATTCTGCTAGGACTTTCTGAGCTGAAAGGAACAGTGAACAGCTAGGAGGCAGTTAGCTGTCAGGCACCACAGGGGGCTAATGCCAGTTCAGGGCTAAGCTCCAGTTCAGTAAGTACTGACTTGGAAACAAAACCTCAGTACATGTGATATGCTGCAAATGCCAGAGAGAGGTAAAGTCACAGCTATCCAGCTATGGCAAGCTGTCTGGGGTTCAGGAGCACCCACAGCCTGCAGCTTAGGGCAGCCTCAGGATGATAACAGCTTCCCCGGAGCCAGCAGCTGTCAGGGTTCCTAGAGTCCACGCAACCTGAATGCTCAGTGGCTATTATTCAACCCAGACTGCTACCGAATCTAGCCACATGAAAATCAGGCGACCCTTGATGAAGGTTCTAAGTGCCTCTGTGAATCAGTGCTCTCATCTGTAATATGGCAATAATAACAGTGCCCACTTTTGGAACTGTTGTGAAGTTTAAAGGAAGCAGTTCCCAGTAAACACTCAGAACACTATCTGGCCACACATTAAGCTGTTCTATTCTTATTGCAAAATTTAATTTCACCCACAAGTTTTACTTCCCAAGTTTGGCACTTAGGTCTTAGAATACTAACTTCCCATGTTCATATACATTTTTCTTAGGAATGTAAACCCTTTAGATGTCCACATTCAACTAGTTCTAAAGTACGTACTTTCTCCTGTAAGATCTTAGTCTCTGTGTAGTAGTCAATGGGTTTCCTGGCATAAGGGATGTCTTCAGTTCCATTTTTGATGTCGACACCCTCAAAGATGACACTGGCACTGCTGGTTAAAATGAGTTTCTGGCAGAGAAAGATTTAAAGGAAAACACAAGTCAGGAATTGTTGTTACCCCAATAGGCTGATGATGAGCAGGAGTGACATGGCAAACCTTCCCTAGCCCTACCCACGAGGCACTGCACAAGTCATTTGTTGGAGTGCCTTTGTTTTTCATGCCATCTTAAGGTAATCCAAAGATCACCACCTTTGCAGCCCTGTGGATTCCACACATGATGGTATTACAATAAAAAACAGTGATTTCATGTTTTCCCCCATCCTATCATGCCTGAAGGAGAGAACAGACTCACATTATTCATGGTATCTCACTATGGAGAGATTCACCACGGGGGAAGGATAGTTTAGAAACTTCTAGGGAGATGTCTGTTTATAAAAGTCTACTGATTATTCTTATACCAACCTTGCCTGTGAATACACAAATGCATATGCACATTCATGAAATTAAGCAATGTTTTGCCAGTAGAGCACTTGCTTAGTATGTGTGAGGCCCTGGGGTCAATCCCCAGTACACTACCAAAAAAAAGTTCAAACCCTAGGACTGCAAAAAGAGAAAAAGAAGAAAACCATTCTCTTATGAGGGTCCTTAGCTTTCAGTGTTTTGGCTAAGAGCAGTTCATCCAACACCAGACCAGTTAGCTCACGTCATATCTTTACTACTTTTATTCAAAATCATTCTAGAAGTCCTAGTTAGAGTGGTAGGATAAATAGATTTATAAATGATTTGGAAAGAAACCAAACTGCTATCATTCCCAGATGATACAAATGTCTACACAGAAAACATAGGCAAGCACACAGACAATATTGGAGTATAGTAAAATTGCTGAATTCGAAATCAATATACAAAAACTAATTATAGTCCTAAATATTAGCAATAATTGAAGATGTAGCATAAAGATTAGTAAATAACAAAAAGTGAGGAACATAGGCATAAAATTAAGGAAAAAATGTACAGAATCTTCATGAAGTACAGTACAAAACTCCACTGAAAGGCATTAGAGAGCTAGCTCATATTTATGGATAGAAGACTTAGTATTGAAAAGATACCAGTTCTCTCTAAAATTACTTAGAAGTTCAAAGCAATTACAATAAATAATCCCAACAGGCTTCATCAAGGAACATGACAAACTGATCCTAAAATATACATGGTAGAACAAAAGGCTCAGAGTAGCCATGTGAACTTTGAAGAAGTTGGCTAGGGGTGACTTGTCCTACCAGATACTGAGGCCTATGCTAGGGCAAAGCCTTTCTGGTATGGTCACATAAACAGGCCAATGCAGCAGAGGAGGAAGCCCAGGAACAGGCCCAGGTAGGACAGGAGCATCTGTGGCGTGCTACAGGTGGTGCTACCAGTCTCATTGTAACTGATGGGAGCCTACAAGAGCAACTTTGCTGCCTGTTCTTGCTGGGCCAGTTGATGATGCTGGGGACTGGCTGAGAAGCACCCAGGACGATTGTTGGGAGAGGAACCCCAATGTGGTGGGCTCTTGGAAGGTTAAACACAGAATGACCCTATGAACCAGCAGTCCAGCTGCTGGGTATAGACTGAAAAGAATTGAAAGCAGGGACTGGGACAGATTTTTGTACACCAATGTTCATAGCAGCATTATTCACAACAGTCCAAAGGTGAAAGCAACATTAATGTCCACAGATAGATGAATGGATAACAAAATGTGGTCCATCTATAAAATGAAATATTATTCAGCCTTAAAGAGGGAAGAAATCCTGACACATGTTACAACATGGATGAATCTTGAAGACATGTTAGGTGAAATGAGTCAGTCACAAAAGGATAAATATTGTATGAATCCACTCATGTGAGGTCTCTAAAGTAGTCAGATTCATGGACACAGCAGAATGGTGGTTTTCAAGAGCTGTGGGCAGGGAGCAATGAGGACCTGCTGTTTAATGGATGTAGCGTTTCTATGACAGAAGAAGAAAAGGTTGTGGAGAAAGATAGTGGTGATGGCTGCACAACAAAACAAATCTATTTAATGTCACTGAATGTATACTTAAAATGGTTAAAAGATATACTTAAGTGGTTAAGATGGTACATACATTTTGTAGCTTTTTAATCAAAGACCAAGAGGTTGTAGGATCCTCAGGTGGTCTGTTTGTATGCAGTTAGAATATTATAACCTCAAATGATCTTGGCAAATGGCCTTTCATGATCCCCAGTAACCCTTAGGGCTTAATTTCTAAGATGTTTGCAACACTTAAGAAACAATTCTGGCCAAGCCCAGAAAGACAGTGAGAAGAACTTTCCTCCTTAGAAAAGGCCACATGTTCCTGACAATACTCACTGGTGCTTTCTCCTTACCTGAACCCCAGCTGCTTTGCAGGTTTCAATGACATTCTTGGTGCCAATGAAATTCACTCTATAAAAGAGTTCCTTGTTGTTACTGGATGGTGGAGGTGATGCACAGTGGAAAACTGTACTTACACCTTTCAGAGCTGGATACAGATCCTGGAAAAGCAAACAGACAAAAGAGACCCTGGCTTTGGGCAGGTCAGCAGTCTTCTCATATTTTCGCTCTCCAATCTGTGATTAGTAGGTCTCTTACCTTCTTATAATTCTAAAACCAACACAGAAACACAATCTTGTAAAAGATTCAAACAATACAGAAGTGCATGAGATAAAAACTAAATTGTCCTTTTAACTATCCCTCCCCATAAACTAGTTCCCAATAAAAGGAGTTAGGGCATGAGAAGCCTGTGGGATTCAGATAAAGGACATATATATCTCTTTACATGTTCAGGACAGCTGGGGGATAAAATTCCCACCTGGGGAAAATGAGTTCATAGAAAAAATTATAAATTATATGAAAAGGTCTCACACCATTAAGACACTATATGCAAATGGCAATTCCTTTCTGTGAAACCAGATATAATGCAGCAACCTGAAAGGGAAGGAATTTAAAACGAGCTATGTTTAATTTTCTGTTAAAAGGAATCTTCCTGAGAGAAATGGCTGGTTATAGATCTGGGATAGGAAATACACAGCATGAACCAGGAAGACCTTGTCGTATCCGAAAGTCAGGAAGCCTGCCAAGACTACTGGAGATACATTAAAAGGACTTAAGAACCAACATGAAGAGGCCCCCACTGGCCAAGAAAAGATAGTTTGATCACCAGTAGAATAAGAATTATGTGAAACTGGCAAATAAAGGGAAAGAATCAACCATTTAATCTGTGCACAATATAAAGATCTGAGTGACTAAACAAGGAGGGACTGACAGCATGTCACCATTTTGCAAAACCTTAATGAAGAACTGGGATCTAAGATGATCCATGGTTATCACCAGAAGAAAGACAACCATGAATAATGTGGCTAGATTCACCAAATAATATTTTGTCACAGTTTCCTCTCTTGATACACAGACATGATTTTATTTGGAAGCCACTTGAGGGTAAGGTGCAGACCACAAGAACTTTGTCTTTACACTCTTCATCAGGCGTCTCCTAAGAACAAAGATGTTCTTCCAAATGACTGCAAAATCAATAAGCACAAATCATATTTCAGCAGACTGGATAGTCTTATTGAACAATTACTCCATATTCAACACTCTTTAAATTTATTAGTTGGCATTCCTCCGCAGAGTAGAACGTCCCTTTCCCCCCATCCTAATTTATTGTTCTGTATTTCTATGGGCACACAGGATTTTTTTATTCAACATATTATCATTTTTTGAGGTTCAAAATACCCCAACTTTGGCCAGCAAAGGGCCTTCAAGTTGGATCCTCTGTCCTTTTGACATGTCCTCATTAATTTGGTCCTAATAAAAGTACCAAGCATGATTAGTGCTATAGAAATTCTGATATTGAGGAAAAAACAACTCCAACTCAGTATCTCCTATTCCCACAACCCAGATCACTTCTGACACCAGGTGGAGGGGTTTCCCTACACATCAAGTGAGCAAGCAATGCTGTAATGCAGACACCAGCCAGGCATCCTCTACTCTAATTCAGTCTGGATACTATCTTCCTGTACAATGTCATGTTACACAGGTGAGGTCTCAGTCTCCAAGCCCCACTTCAGAAGGCAGTCATAAGTCTCAGATGGTTTTACTTGTGCTTCTGACTAGTGGCTATACATTGGGGTTCCTACAACTCCCTCTTTTTCTGTGGTGCTGTGGTGGAACCTAGGACCCTGCAATGCTAGGCAAGCATCTACCACTGAGTTACACTTCCAAATCCCCTCCTTGGGTTTATTTAATTTGCGTTAGTAGTTCACAGAACTCAGGGAAACACTTTATGTTTCCTGGTTTACTATAAAGGGTATTATAAAAGATACAGATGAAGAGAGGCACATACTGTGGTATGGAATGGGGATACAGAGTTGCCACATCTTTTCTGGATGCACTACCCTCTAGTTTCATTATATAAGCAAGACTGTAACACAGACAAGTGTGTAGAAAGGTGAATGAACAAAACAAAGCCAGGTGCCAGTGGCTCCCGCCTGTAATCCTAGCTACTCAGGAGGCAGAGATCAGGAGGACTGAGGTTCCAGGCCAGCCCAGGGAACCAGTTCGTGAGACCCTGTCTCAAAAATACCCAACACAAAATAGAGCTGGTGGAGTGGCTAAAGTGGTAGAGCGCCTGCCTACCAAGTGTGAGGCCCTGGGTTCAAACCTCAGTACCCCCCAAAAAAAAACCCCAAACATCTGATCTAATGCTGACAGACTAAGTGTGGAAACTCAGCAAGGCCTGTCTGCTCTGATTCTTCTTGGTCTCTTTGTGCAGCAGATTCCTTCTGAAATGGGGAAGGGGATTGTATGATCCACCTTTACAACGATAAATTCTAGTGTCTATGGCCTATCTTGGGAAAGGAACTATGACCTAGGAACCATGGATGAAAACAGCAACAATAATAATAGATATCCTAATCTCACAGGGGTACGGACCCATCATACATCAGAGGAAAAAAGTGAACAGGTTCAGATCAAGTTCTTAGGCCAACAGGAATAGATTACAAGCCATAGACAGGACTTTAAATTTTGTAGCAATTACATTAACAAAGTCAAAACAAATAGGTGAAATTAATTTTATATCTAAAATACATTGCTACATATAATCGAGATAAAATTACTGAGATATTTACCTTCCTTTTTCCTGTACTCAGTCTTGGAAATCTGGTGTGGATTTTACACTCACAGTGCCTCTCAGTCCAGACTTGCCCCATTTGAAGTGCTCCATAGCCACATGTGGCTAGTGGCTGCCTTACTTACTGGACACTACAATCCCACATCTACTAAGGTTAAACCTTTGTCTTATCCCTGAGGCAAACTCTAGCCCTGGTCAAATGCTACTCATTTCTTGTCCATGCTTACACCTGAGCAGCCACATGTTACTGGAGTACACCACGTCATGCTGGGAGGGTCTCTTTTTAAAGGTGGATTTAGGGAAAGCCAGAAATAATATACTAGTAACCACAGCACAGCAGTTGGGGAGCATTTTGGAGAGTTTGCTTGTTTCCTTTGAAGGGATGCAGCAGTGACCAAAAGAGTCAAAATCCCTCTGTAGAGCTGCTGTGCTATGGTGCAAGGGATAAATAAGGAAATAAACAAGTAGCTAGAGTACCTCAGCTCCTGCCACGTGTTAGAAAGCTCACACAGAGTAAAGGAGGGCAGGAGGCATGCTGATTAGCAGAGTGTTCAGACACTTACTGGAAGTTAGGGAGCAAGTGCTGCAGTTTAGGAAGAACATTTCCAGCAGAGAGGGCAGCAAGTGCAAAGATCCTGAGGCAGAAACCTGGCTGGTGAGTTTGAGGTGCAGTAAGGTGGCCCACATGCCCGGAGCAAGCAATGAGGAGAATGTGGGAGGGAGTGAGGCTAGAGAGGGTGTGGGGACATACTGTACAGGCCTTGGTGGTGATTACACAGGCCTTTGTCATTTGCTCTAAATGGAACATGGTATGATTGAAGGTTTCTGTGCAGGAGTGATGGGATCTAATTTCTGCATTAAAAGGGTCTCTCCCATATCTAGGGGAGTTGATGGGTGGTAGCAATGAAGGGGGAGAAGTTGCTGTATTGAGAGTGGAGTCAATAAGAGATGGAGGAGATGGAGGAGATGACAGAATAGGCCATTTGTGGAGATGCAGAAGACTAGCAGGAGTGTCTGCTGTTCTAGGGGAGGAGCTTATGGCAGGTTACTGACTACTCAAGTCTGGATGCAGCAAGATGGAAGACTGGTAGATATTCAAGCTGTAATGTCCAGCTGGAGGGGGACTAGGAGAGCTTTGGGTTGGGTACAGTAAGCTTGGGCCTTGTCATCTTCTAGTCAATATTTAATCCATGAGGTAGGAAGGGTTCACCATGACACTGACTGCACTTGCAGAAGAAAAGCGAGCCAAAGAAAGTCTAGAGCCTACAAAGTTTAGAAATCATAAAGATAAGGAGACCAAGAAGGGGCAATCACTGAGGTCAGAGGAAAAATGAGTGTGCATCCTAGAAGGCAAGTGAATAAAGTACAAGATGCTGCTGAAACTTCCAGAATAGGGAGATCTAGTGACTGAAAACAGACATGTGGTTTTCAGGGGCTGGGAGAGGGAAAGAGGGCATGGGAAGAACATGGATAGAGGATTTCCTTTTTGTATGATGAAAATGCTCTAGAAGTAGATGGTGTAGAATAATTGCTCAGCTTTGTGGATATGCTGAGAACTACTAAACTGCACACTTCAAAAAAGTGAAATTTAAGCTGGGCACAGTGGCTCATGACTGTAATCCTAGCTACTTGGGAGTAAAGACTAGGAGGATCACGGTTCAAGGCCAGCCTGGGGAAAAAAATTCGAGATTCCATTTTAACCAATAAAAGCTGAGCATGGTGGGGTGTGCCTGCCATCCCAGCTACAAGAGAAGCATAGATAGGAGGATTGTGGCCCACCCTGGTCAGGGCATAAATGCAAGATGTTATTAGATAAATAAGAAAAACACAAAGGGGCTGGGGTGGGGCTCAAGTGTTAGAACATAAGACCCTGAGTTCAGGCCCCAGGACTACCAAAAATGTGAAATGTACGCTTTTTGAATTATATCTCAACTAAAAGGAATGAACAACCTGCAGCCCAAACATCGACACACTCCAAAGCAGTTAGCACATTCCAGCCCAGGACATGCTTGGTGAAACATGCTGGTAAGGTTTCTGTGGCACCTGGCCCTGTGCTCATCAAAGCATGGATTACAGCTACTTTCTTTCCTACTCCTGTGACAGAGCTGTGCCAAGGTGACACAGACAACAGACTTCATTGAGAGTAATAACAATGTGGTATGTGTTAAATTCTTTCCTTCAACAGTTTTTAAAATAAAATGCTTTTTTTTTCAAACGACAATTTGGTCTCTGAGCACAGGAAATGCCATGGGTCCCTCTGGGAGCCTGTGGGTGATCAGCAAGGCTACACAGTTCATTACCTGTTGGTTGCAGAGGTCACCCAAAAAGAACTGTACGCGGGGATTATCAAATCCTTGGCGGATATCAAAGACATTGACAGTGTAGCCTCTTGCCAGCAACTGCTCCACCATGTGCTGCCCCAGGAACCCAGAACCTCCAATCACTGTGCACTTCTTAGCCTGTGCAAAGAGAGGGATGGCAGGAGGATCAATGTGGTAATTGGCAGGATGATCAATGTGGTAATTAGCAGGAGCTGCAAAGAGCCCAGCTTTCCATAGCATGAGCCACTACAATGGCGGGTATGTTTGTTTGATCTGCCTGATCCCAGGTAGAGGTTTTGTATCATTCTAGCATTTGGTCACCAGTGCCACTTCCTCTCCTGGATCAGCAAGGAGGGGAGATGGAGAGAAAGAGGAAGAGAGAAAGAGGAGGGAGGGGAAGAGAGGAAGGGAGGGAGAGAGGAAGGGGAGAGGATGAGAGAGAGAAGAGAGCGAGAAAGAGAGAGCGTGAGAGAGAGAGAGAGCATGCAAATGACAAGTAAGATAGACCTTTGGTGGATTTGATGATATAATCCATGCTTTGTATCTAATGAAAAGAAATTAAACTACGTACAATAAAGCCTGGATAATCTAAAAAAAAAAAAAACAAAACAAAACCAAAATCAAAGGTGATACCTTCTTGCTTCTGACATCTGATCCCTGGATGCTTCTCTAAGATTGAAAACAAATCTCCAGTCATTTTAGAGTTTACACTTAAAACATCAGAAAGGCTGGGCACTGGTGGCTCATACCACAGTGGTTTTAGGAAGCAGAAATCAGGAGGATCACAGTTAGAAGCCAGCCTGGACAAATAGTTTGGGAGAAACTATCTTGATAACACTCAATGCAAAACAGGGCTGGTGAAATGGTTCAAGTGGTAAAGTGCCTGCCTAGCAAGTGTGAGACCCTGAGTTCAAACCCCAGTACCAAAAAGAAAAAAAACAAAAGGAGGGCTGAGCATGAGCATGGTGGTACATGGTGAGTAACCCAAGCTACTTGGGAGATGGAGATAGGAGGAACATGGTTCGAGGTCAGTCTAGGAAAAAAAGTTACTCAAAAAGCAAGCTGGGTGTGGTGACACATGCCTGTAACACCATCTACCGAAGGTAAGAGGATCATGGTCTGAGGCTGGTCCTGGGCAAAAGTAAGACCCTACCTGAAGAAAAAACTAAAGCAAAAAGGGCTGGGGGTGTACCTCAAGTGACAGAGCCTGCTAGGCAAGCACAAGGCCCCGAGTTCAAACTCCAATATTGCCAACCCCTGCCCCCCGCAATAACACTGGAAAGGAGCAGACTCAATACTCATGGGACAAAGTCAGTCTTGCCTCCACAACCACAGTGAGGTTGGACTGTGTGGCTTTGAACTGGTTACGTACTCCCTTCCTGCCTCAGCCTAGCCATCTCCCTATTTATTCCTTAAACACTGACCAACTGAGCTATGTGAGAGACTTAAGGCATGTCAGGGCTAGGCACCTTCTAAGATCTGCTTCTGTCTCGCCTTCTCCCTCCCAAACTAACTTTTTAACTCACTCTTTTCTTTTTTTTTTTTTTTTTCATTTTTCTTTTATTATTCATATGTGCATACAAGGCTTGGTTCATTTCTCCCCCCTTCCCCCACCCCCTCCCTTACCACCCACTCCGCCCCCTCCCTCTCCCCCCCTCAATACCCAGCAGAAACTATTTTGCCCTTATTTCTAATTTTGTTGTAGAGAGAGTATAAGCAATAATAGGAAGGAACAAAGGTTTTTGCTGGTTGAGATAAGGATAGCTATACAGGGCATTGACTCACATTGATTTCCTGTGCGTGGGTGTTACCTTCTAGGTTAATTCTTTTTGATCTAACCTTTTCTCTAGTACCTGTTCCCCTATTCCTATTGGCCTCAGTTGCTTTAAGGTATCTGCTTTAGTTTCTCTGCGTTAAGGGCAACAAATGCTAGCTAGTTTTTTAGGTGTCTTACGTATCCTCACCCCTCCCTTGTGTGCTCTCGCTTTTATCATGTGCTCATAGTCCAATCCCCTTGTTGTGTTTGCCCTTGATCTAATGTCCACATATGAGGGAGAACATACGATTTTTGGTCTTTTGGGCCAGGCTAACCTCACTCAGAATGATGTTCTCCAATTCCATCCATTTACCTGAGAATGATAACATTTCGTTCTTCTTCATGGCTGCATAAAATTCCATTGTGTATAGATACCACATTTTCTTAATCCATTCGTCAGTGCTGGGGCATCTTGGCTGTTTCCATAACTTGGCTATTGTGAATAGTGCCGCAATAAACATGGATGTGCAGGTGCCTCTGGAGTAACAGTCTTTTGGGTATATCCCCAAGAGTGGTATTGCTGGATCAAATGGTAGATCGATGTCCAGCTTTTTAAGTAGCCTCCAAATTTTTTTCCAGAGTAACTCACTCTTTTCTATGCTTTGTTCTGATCCTACATAAGTGCAAGCAGATTATGCTAAGTAATTTGTACCATCACTGAAATTTAGAGTATTTCTTCAGGTTGTAGCCAAATCAAAGACCAAACTCATTTCTGGCAATCCATTCTTTCTCCCCGGGAGGCATTTAAAATCCCTCTGAGCCTTCCCATTTCCCAACCTGGGTATTCTTGGCTTGCTAAAATTTGCCTGAGCCCAAAGAGGATGGGAACTAGACATGCTTTGATGGCATCCTGGAGATCTCAGAGCTCCTCAATGACACTCCTAGCATCTCTAGTTCCAGCTGTTTCATAAGGCTGATAGTCTAATTTTCAAAAAAAAAAACCCTGCTATTATGTTGAGTGCAATTTCATGTAATGATTTTAAATGTGACTAAAATCAGTACTGTACTCTTCAACAAGTGACACAAGTTCTTTTACTATATTGACATGTTGCACTGACTTTGTTTGGGATGAGTGGGCCAACAACTGCTCTGCAGAGTTTTGTAATGATGGTAATAGAACTGGTCTTCATCCCAGGGAAGTCAAACATGTGATGGCACCATGTCTAATTGCAGCTCTAGGGCTATGTGGTTAGAGACTGTGTGAGATAATCACTTAGTGATCATGAGCACAGGGGGCAAGAAAGGACAATCACTGACAAGAATAAAACTCCACATAGGAAAGAAATAGGCAGTCACACCCAGGATCAGGACTGGGTGGCTGAGAGGAGTTATAAAAGAAAAGGAAGCCATCTAGACCATTCAATATAGTTGCAATATAATCTTGAGATAAAGAGAATGGTTAACACTCTTGAGGATATACCCAAAAGACTGTGACACAGGTTACTCCAGAGGCACCTGCACATCCATGTTTATTGCGGCACTATTCACAATAGCCAAGTTATGGAAACAGCCAAGATGCCCCACTACTGACAAATGAATTAAGAAAATGTGGTATCTATACATAATGGAATTTTATGCAGCCATGAAGAAGAACGAAATGTTATCATTTGCTGGTAAATGGATGGAATTGGAGAACATCATTCTGAGTGAGGTTAGCCTGGCCCAAAAGACCAAAAATCGTATGTTCTCCCTCATATGTGGACATTAGATCAAGGGCAAACACAACAAGGGGACTGGACTTTGAACACATGATAAAAGTGAGAGCACACAAGGGAGAGGTGAGGATAGGTAAGACACCTAAAAAACTAGCTAGCATTTGTTGCCCTTAACGCAGAGAAACTAAAGCAGATACCTTAAAAGCAACTGAGGCCAATGGAAAAAGGGGACCAGGAACTAGAGAAAAGGTTAGGTCAAAAAGAATTAACCTAGAAGGTAACACCACGCACAGGAAATCAATGTGAGTCAATGCCCTGTATAGCTATCCTTATCTCAACCAGCAAAAACCCTTGTTCCTTCCTATTATTGCTTATACTCTCTCTACAACAAAATTAGAAATAAGGGCAAAATAGTTTCTGCTGGGTATTGAGGGGGTGGGAGGGAGAGGGAGGGGGCGGAGTGGGTGGTAAGGGAAGGGGTGGGGGCAGGGGGGGTGAAATGACCCAAGCCTTGTATGCACATATGAATAATAAAAGAAAAAAAAAGAATGGTTAAGGCCACTGGGTTTGCCCCTCCCCAGCCCTTTAGGTTTTACTTTGTCTTTTTTTTTTTTGTTTTAGAGAGGTCTTAATACAGAAGACAAGTGTTCTTTCCTAGTAGTTTGTAACTCTTACTCCCTATAAAAAGTCAATCAATGAGAAAAAAGAGGTTATTCTGATGAAGACAGTGGCAGTTTGGTATGTGACTTTTTCTGGCTGCCAAACAGCAATAAAACTGAATTTACACAAAAGGAACTGATGCTGGTAAGTGGCTTCAACCAGAGGCCCAGAGAGGCCTTATTCTGAGCTCTACATCAAAACCAGGATGAACCGGTGGCCCCCAGGATGCTCCTGGGGATCTTTAATTTATCAACATTTGATATGAACACACTGTACTTCAGTGTGACCACATTTTTGAAGTGTAACTTTCATTAAAAGTGAGTCAAACCAAACTCATGCAGACCTATGTGAAGAGCCTCTAGGAGGCCTGACTGACTGGGCTCAACAGTTCTTTCATGTCTCTTCTGATACCTGCGATGCTAGATTTCAGGAGGCCATTGCTACCCTCTGGCAAGACTTCTGCTATTCTACCAGGAAGCCAAGGGTGGCCTACTGGAGGCCATATGAAGGCAAACCAAGGCACCTAGCCAACAGTCCACAGCTATTACTGAAAGATGCATGAGTGAGTCCACCTGGGAACATACACCTCAGGGGTCCACATATGACTACAGCTGTCTGAGTGAGACCAGGGAAGACCAGCCAGTAGGTTCCTGGCTAGGCCCAGCCCAAAATGCAGTTGCAAGCAAAGAACTGTTCTCTTAAGCCACTACATTCTGATGTTATTTGCTACACAGCAAAAAGTAACTGATGTATCTTAAATAAGGACATTTACCTTATATAAAAACGTATCCAGCATTGACTGATTTAATAAATGTGCTAAACGCATTATTAACGCACAGGTCAGTATCAACAGCTTGCTGGTATGTATGTGCTTACCCTCCTGCCAACCTGATTTTGGCTAACTTTTTTTTTATATCAGTACTTACATTGGGAATATCCTCTGTCAGACGTGTCTGTGCGACCTGGTCTCTCATTGGCTCACCAATTGCTTGTTCCATTATGGTTCAAATTATGCTCTTACTTGCAATCAACTTTTCTTCTTCCTAAAGACATATTTAGAGACAGACACTAATGTTATATTTTTTGCTGTTAGTGTTTTGGGTGGATGCTGCACCTCCCCCGCCATTGAGTTTTCACAAATAGCTGAGCCATAGCTGGAGCTGTTGGCTGAAGCACTCAGCTCATATTCCTGTGTGAGATGCTGCTATCTTTGGCCATGACTGGGCCCATTACTCACCATATACTTGGATTAGAGGCAGAATGGAAAGCAAACAACCCCATTCACCAGTTGTGACAAGAACACTGTTTGTGTTGTAGCCTTTTCCACGGCACTCACATGCCTCAATTATTCTCTGTTGGAGTACTCATTAGATGATGGCAGTGTACAGGCTAGGGAGTCCTGGGTTTAGGTCTTGGCCCTCTCATGAACTGCATAAATCTGTCTCAGTCATTTTGTAGCAGGGAAGAGGATCAGAAGAAAACAGACTAGGCCTGTGTCCTGATAAAGTAGCAGGGGGGAAGGGATGGCATAGCAGAGAGATAAAACCTAAAGAATTCAAAGGTGAAGACGGTCACATAGCACTAGGGGTAGAAGGGCACTAAACAACTAGGCTGAAGTAGCCTATAAAACTGCATGGAACCATATATGGGTTAAACCTTGTTTTTAATTTTATTGCCTCTGTAACCTGCTTGCAAGGGTATATAAAATGAGACCCTTTGGACATGAGTCCACTGGGTCTGTGCTGGCACAATAAACATTGTTTCCTGTTAAACTGCCTCAGTGTCTTGTATCTCAGCTAAAAGCCTCCTGCAACATTTCTCTTCATTGCAGTTCAGTTTGCCCATTAATAGAATGGACTCAAGTGCTCATCCTTATGATGTCAGGGCATGGGATGCTGGAATAGGTGAGCAGAGTACAATAAGTGACAGAAATCCTTGCTTGTTAAGTTAAAAATCATGCTATGTGTGACTGGAACCATGAGAAATCCCCAGGAAGTAGTCATAGCATGGTGGGGACCAAGCAGTTCACAATCAAGAGTCATAGCAACACGTTGAACAGTGGTACCAAACAGTGGAGCACAGCCTTAATGACTGCCCTCAGGTTGTGTTCCCCTCTTCTTTTACCAACAATACCAATTTGCAAACACAAAGAAACCATTTATTTACATGCTATTTGGTCTTGCATCTATGTTTTTTAGGTAGTGGCCAATTTACTTAGCCATGGATCCCCTAACATCTAGAGATGGCAAAACTCACCAGAAATAAAAGCCTGACCATGGAAAGTTAGATTTAGAGAACACTATAGGGTGAGAAGGAGGCAGGCAGTCAACACTGGGTCACAAACTTTGTGATGGCTCCAATCTGATCCCACACCTGGAGTTTTACACTTCCCACTACTTTCAACCAATGGGTGCTGTCATAGGTCCCAATAAAAACAGATTTTTTGAATGTATTGATTTTGTGGGACTATCAAAGGCCAAAATGATCTTGAAATGGACAGCAGGACCCTTCATGTCTAATGGGGCCATCAGAAAACTGGGGGAACAGTTTTCTGAACTCATCAAGGAAGTTATCTATTAAGTGTATTTCAAAACTTGACTTCTCCTGGGCTTTTGTACAATGCAGTTAATGAGTAAGGAATGTCAAATTTCAGTTCTGTGCCTGCCCCATCCCTCTCTTTATCCCAGAGTCCCTTGCACACAGGCAGGGGCTCTGTCATCTGTTCACCCCAAACACATGTGGCAGTGGCTTGACTCATTTGGTTCCATGTGTGGCAGGACCAAAGTAGCTGGAGAATAAGGATTCTTGCACCAAAGCCTTGCAAACAGATTCTGGACTGTCTTGCTTGCTGCTGTATTGCAGGTGTGCAGCAGCACCCAGCACAAGCAGGCACTTGCAAGCCTGCTGGACTCATGGATACATCAAGTGTGCACACAGTCACATGGTGCCCCAGCTGCTCTTTACCATGTACACACAAACTTTCATTGAAGTTCCCATCTAGGAGCTTCACTGTTCTTAGGCTGGTGGTGCTATAATGCTCACTGCCTGGCTTTTCACTCAATTTCCCCAGATCCTCAGGAAAATATAAGCAAATGAAAAGGCAGATGGCTTCCAGGGAGGCAAGAAGAGTCCCCCACACCTGCTTCTGACTCTGTACAAATCATTATTGACCTATCTTAGTGGGAGTCTGAGCAGAGTGTGGCCGTGACAGTCTCCTGCCTGTAGGATCCCACGGTGGGGCTAACCAGGCTAAGTCAGTCCACCCCTAGAGGATTCTGCTCCTGGAAGCCTCTGCTCACCTTCACTGCCTGTGAAAAGCAAAGATCACGCCACTCTTAATGCAGTTCACTACAAATGAATGAATCCAGAATCTGCTGCCTAGGTTCAAATCCCAGCTCTACCTTTGGGGCATTATTTAAAAGAACTGTTCGTGCTTCCTCATCTGTAAAATGAACAGCCTCATAAGAGCATTGTGAGGATTAAATAAAATTAAATGGACAATGTATGCAAAGCCCTCAGCACAGTGCCAAGTACCTGTTAACACCCCATTAAAGAAGCTATTATTATTATGATTGCACATATTACTTCCTCTGCAGCAGTCTCCCTTAACCCACCTCCTTGATGTCCACCTTTGAATTCCTCCGCCACTTTACATGTCTCCTGCTTACCTGCAGCCATGCTGTGTAAGTTCCATAGTACCTGCTCCGGGGGTAGTCCCAAGCCTCAATCACCAGATACCACCTAACAATATACATCTAATAATCACATACTTTATTCTTCAATAAAGTATGTGAACTGGGGTGTGAAGTAATAAAAAAGGTATATCCAGTGTACAGCATGCTTATAATATGCACAAAAACAGAGTAAGACAGATTGAGACTCACATGCAAACTAGGGTAGAAATTCTCTCCTCCCACCCCACTCAAGGAATAGCGTAATGACTCACCCCAAAGTGCTTCACTCGGTTCTTCTTAATTGAAGTGTAAGAGCAGATTTAATCACCCTTAAGTTTTGCATGAGAGGTAGGAAAAGAAATGGGCCACTAGAGGACTTGTTTAGGGTATGTAAAGATGGCAAAACCCAACCTGTGGCCTTAAGTGATGGGGAGTAAGTGACTTTTTCACTTAAGACCTCTGTGATACTCACAGACTTCTGATAGGTTTGTAGGCTAACACCTGGCACCAGACCATGTGTTTGAAAGATTCAAATATCCAGGGAGTTGATCCCTTAGCACAGGGATGGCTGCTGGGGGAGGGGACCAGCCATTAGTGCTCTTTGCCAGTGAAGGGGCACAGGGGCATAGGGAAGCACTGGGCCAGGCTCTGCCTTGACATATGAAGACAGTACTGGACTATTATAGTGGAGTATGTGGTGGTGGCCCCCAAAAGATCTGTCCACACCCTAATCCCTGGAACCTGTGAATGTGCCCTTATATGGAAAAAAAATGTCTGCAGATGTAAGGGTGATGGGAGATTATTCTAGCAGGCCCTAAATCCAATGACAAGAGTCCCTACAAGAGACACACAGAGAGACACAGGGAGAAGAGGAGGAGGTTACAAGAAGCTGGAAGCAGAGACTGGGGTAATGTGGCCATAAGTCAAAGAATTCCTGGGGCCAGCAGAAGCTGGGAGAAGCAAGGAAAGATTCTCCCCTAGAGACTTTAGAGGAAATATGGTCCTGCTGACACCTGAACTTCAGACTTCTGGCCTCCAGAACTGGGAAGGAATAAATTTCTATTGCTTTAAACCATCTAGCTAGTTGTTATAGCAGACCCAGGAAATGGATGCAAATATCCTTTGCAGTCTTGAAATCCAAACAGCATAGCTGCCAATTTCACAGCCTGCCCTGCCCTACTAGCAAAAGCAAGAAGCCTTAGAACCTATTCTCATCTCTGCTTGCTAAAGAGTATGTAGGAGCTAAAAGAAGAAACATGCTGGGTCTCAGTGCAGTCACGACGCTTAACCGATGACTACACAGTCACAGCACACCAGCCTCTTGTCAAAACAAAACCTATACTGTCTCAAATTATATACCAATTATTGTAAAGTTTGTAAGTACTGTGAGTCAGGTAAGAATTTTGGTGACAGCTTAGCTGTCTCTAGGTTTTGGGGTATACAGGATTTAAGAATGAGTTAAATTCTACTTGCAACACCTCTTCCCTGGCTACCCACCTCAAACCATCATGTGTTATATACTCAGGTTCAAATGACTATTAGGAATATCTCTGATTAAATAGATATTTCTCCAAAGATATACTTTACAGATGGCTAACAAGCACAGGAAATGGAGTCCAGCATCACTAATCATTAGGGAAATGCAAATCAAAACCACAATGAGACTACCTTATACCCATTAGGAAGGCCACTATCAGAAGCCAGAAAGCCAAAAATATCAAGTGCTGGAGAGCATGTGGAGAAATCAGAACCCTTGTGTACTGTCAATGTAAAAATGCTGCAGCTGCTGAGGAAGTGTGGCAGTTCTTTAAAAAAATAACACATAGATTTACCATGTGATCTACCAATTTCACTTGTGAGTACATACTCCCCAAATGGAACACAGGGACTTGGAACAGTTATTTAAACATCCATGTGCATAGCAGCATTATTCACTATACACAAAAGGTAGAAGCAACACAAGTATCCATTGACAGATGAATAGAGTAATAAAACGTGTCTATCCATACTGTAGAATATCTTTCAGCCATAAAAAGGAATGAAGTTCTGATGTATGGATGAACTTGAGGACATCAAGCTAACTGAAATGAGCTAGGAGCAAAAGAACGAACACTGTCTGAATGAACACATCCTGAGAGCAGGATGGTGGTTGCCAGGGGCTGGCAGGAGGTGGAAGAGGAATGACTGCTAATGGGTACAGTTTCTGTTTTGTAAGATGGAAAGAGTTCTGAGTTAGAAGTGCTGATGGCTGTACCACAATGGGAATGGACTTACTGCCACTGAAGCATATGCCTAAAAATAGTTAAAATGGTATACTTTCTGTTCTGTCTTTTAACACACATATACACAGAATAAAATAACTCTGAAATAGGACCCCAAAGAGGGGCTGGTGGATTGTGAAAGTTCATACAGCCAAAGCCCCAAGTCTGCTGCCTTTAGAATGGTTAATCTTTGAATCCTTTAGAAACCAAGATGTGAGGGCTGACGGAGTGGCTCAAGTGGTAGAGTGCCTGCTTAGCAAGCATGAGGTCCTGAGTTCAAACTCCAGTACCACTACACACACAAAAAAAACCCCACGATGTGCACCTACAATCTACATTGGGACAAGGTTCTAGAACAAAAAGAAGCTAGGAAAAGAGACCCATCTCCTACTGATGAAATCCAAGTGCCTTACTCACCTTTTGGGCTACTGACAGGCTTTGATGAACAAAAGTGAGCTAACCCAGTATCTTCCTTCCTGCTGGGGAAAGTTCTAGACTACTGACTCTTGTAGATAAAAGGAGGGACATCTGTTTCAAACCAGACAGAGAGAGATGAGTGTCTCCTCTTACTAAGAAATGGGAGTGTAGTACAGAGAGGGAAGCTAGAACGTGGCCACTGTGAGTTCACTGCCTTGGTCCATGGCCATACAACACTGATTTGTGCAAGAAACACAAATGGGCTTCCAGAACAAATGTGCTTCCCCAAAAGGTTCAATTGGTGGAGTTAGTCATCTAAAGAAAGCAAAGTGCCACTTTCTCAGACTGGGTCTGGAATGCTGATATGGGAGATTGAGTCTGGGATTTCCCTGTTTCCCTTCCCTATTCCCCTTATGCTTAGCACCCTGAGCAAGACTAGGCCTAATGATCTGATGGAAAGAGAAGTCACCTGATGCCAGCACATACTTTCACCACGGACACATTTCCTTGAGAAAATATTGCAAAGCAGGAATCCTGTAAAAACAAAAGTAAGGTCTGCCCTTTCAGATTTCAAATATATGACATAGGGGAGAAAACACACAGATTAGGATCAGTGAGGCCAATGGCTAGGAGGGCATTTGTTTTTAGAGTCTCAAATGAGCCATTATTACTCTGGGGCAACTCAGCTCGACCTTGTCCTTTCATAGACCTGAGGTGTCCTTATGTTTCTGTCAGTTGTCAGTCTCGCTGTTGATTTACTTTTAGGACACAGAACACTTTGAATTTGTTGTGGGCCACTCAGGAACCCTTCAGCATGGCTGTGAGCTTAGCTTCTGCTGTTCCTTCTGCCCTCCCTCTCCAGGACAAGCTTCCTCTCATCCTTCAAGGCCTAGATCATCTGTCCCTCTGTGAAGGCCCTCCCCCCAGAAAAGGTGAGCTGCTTCCTTGGCACCTGTTCATAACACACTCTTCCTGGTTTTGAATGATTCTCTGTCTGTTGCTACTGGTTAAAGAGGCCATATCTAGGAAACAGCTATCCTTCCTGTCTATCTCAGAGCTGCTGTGAGGCTCAAACAAGCCCCAAGGGCTAAAATGGAGAATAACTTATAAAAGAACACCTGGGTGTTACCTCACTGATTGATTGATTCATTTCCTCACTCACATGTTACTAAAGGCCAGTCAGTCAGAGGTCTAATAAAATACAACTGAGGCCTTCAAGGAGTTGACCATCTTGTGGGGGAAACAGGGAATTAAGAAATCACAGAAGTGTGTTTGGATCCCAAGGAGGATAAGCCCACAGACCCTCTGAGGCTGTTAGGTCAGGTGAGATGATCCTGAAAGAGAGTCCAACACAGCCAGGGGTGGGAAGAATGAGCCAGCTTGTTCTGATAACTGTGACAAGTTATGTCACCGCAAGTGCAAAGCAGGACTGGGAGGAAAGTTGACAATATGCAGGCAAGTTGTAAGTAGGGGTGAGTGTTATAACCAGATTACTCTGGCTGTAGTGTAAAGAAGGAATCTTAGCCAAGCCTAAGGTCCCAGCCATGCCAGGTAGGGACATGACAAGAGCAAAGCAGAGAAAAGCACTAAAATTGCCTGAAGATCTGCTTAATGTCAGGCCCTTTTACATTTGAGTACATTACCCCATTAGGATTCAAAAAGTATCCAGTCAGATAGACCATACTGGTCTCACTCAACAGTTGAGAAACTGAGGCTCAGAGAGGTCCAAGGTCTTGCCTGAGGTCATACAGTTGGCACAGAGCCCAGGCAACTATGTCCCTTCTACTATGTCAGGCTGCCACCCTGAAGACTGACTGGGAAGCAGGTGTGTTAGTCAGTTTCCAATACCATAGCACAATGTCTAGGACAATCAACCTAAAAAGAGGAAAGGTTCCTTTTGGCTCACAGTTGTAGAAGTTTCAGTTCATGATGGGTTCATCCTGTTGCTTTGGGCCTGTGGTAGCACAGTACATCATGATGGAAGTGTGTGGCAGAGGAAACTGGAAGCTGCTCAGCTCATGGTGGCCAGAAAGCAAAAGAGACACAAAAAGACTGAGTCCCACAATCCCCTTTGAGGTCATGCTCCCAATGACCTAAATTCCTTTCACTAGACCCCACCATCTTCCAAAAGCATTATGGGTGGGGGAGCAAGGCCTGAACACATTAACCTTTGAGGAACATTTAATATATATATTTTTTGGCTTGAGGACATTTAAGATCTAAACTATAGCACAGGGTATGGAAAGACATGAAGCCACAAAGATATATATTTTTTGGCTTGAGGACATTTAAGATCTAAACTATAGCACAGGGTATGGAAAGACATGAAGCCACAAAGGTAAACGGGGTGAAACTAGGCAGGAGGCTCATATGGACTTTATTCCTTAGTCACGGGAAACCTCTGAAGTTTTGCAAGCAGAGGGCTGAACTGACCAGGGCAGGGTTAACCCCATAGGTGAATGGTGGGAAACTGATCAGGTGTTCAACCAGGGTTTACAGAGCACCCAAACTTCTGCTCCAGTGCCTGGAGGGGAAGCAGGTTGTGAAGGTTGAAGCTCTAAGCTGGCTAAGGAGGGCACACCTTGACCTCCAGTTTTACTTCCAGCTCAGCTCACACCCTTGCCCACATGCCCTTTTAAGTCTTCTAACATAGCTCTCGCTTCCAAATTCCTGGAACTTAGCTCATGAGGGGTCTCAGCCTGGAATGCTTTTCCCTATGGGCCTCGAGTGTTTGAATGTCAAACCGTGTATTTTGATCTCTCCTGCCTTTCATGCTTGCTCTTATCTCTTTCACTCCTTTCACAGGCTATTCCCAAGATCCCTCGCTCACAATCCTGGGCTGCTTTTAGCCAGGTGGGAGCTAAAGTGATTCTTTCTTGAAGGGACACCTTCAAAGAAAAAAACCTCGATTGGATTCGGTTTCTAAGCCCCGGCCGTCTGAACCTCAGCGACAATGGTCGGCACGCCCCTTCTCCTTTTCAGGTCCCAGCTGCCCCGAGTACAGTTCCCGCTTCAACACGTAAGGTCCCGTCTATTCTGGCTCCTCTGAAGCCGTTTCCCAGAGTCTTAGGCTGTCCCGGAAGGTGCTCGATCCGCGCCGTCCCACCCAGACCCTTGTACCACCCCCCTCACCCTGTCCTGTTGCCTACACAAGGCAGCCTCCGAGGGTAAGGCCACGGACTCTTACCTGTCTGTCTGGAGGCACCCTACCGGCCGGCCTCAGCTAGCCCGCAGCCTCCACTCACTGAGCTACAGACCAGGACCGCCACCCTTTCCCCCAGCCGAAATGAGCCGAGAATCAGCCGAGCTTCCTCCACCAAAGGGGATTGGCCCGGTGCAGCGCAGGCTCAGCCAATCGGCGCTCGCAGCGTGATCTTGCCCAATGAGATCAGGCCTCACCGCCAGCGCACCGCCCTTTGCCCTGGGGCCGGACTTTGCCAGGATAGCCCCGCCAACTTCGGCCGGAAACCAATGGGAAGCGGGCCTCGCGCGCGGGGCGGTGGGAAAAGTGCCGAGTCCGTGTGTACGCCGTTGCCGTAACAACGGACAGCGGAGTCCATCGGTGATGGTGAGTGATTTGCGTTTCGTCTCGCCCTGCGCCGTGAGACTGAGTCCTTTCCAGATCCCAGTGCGGCCATGCAGTCTTTCCAGCATCTTTCTCGGCTTTGGCGTAACCAGTCCTTCCTTTGAGCCCTATCCCGGAAGGGTAGGGACTACAGACGCCAGCCGCCCTGCTGGGCCTGCGCTTAGCGTCCTTCTCCCTTTAGCCCACAGTCAACCTCCACCCGCCCCTCAAACTCCTTTGGCCTTCCCGAACCGGTCGGTGACCCTCCATATGCAGAGACTGAGGTTTCCCCTGAGGCCCCGACCTTTCTCAGACGCAGGCCTCCTGGTTGCCTCGTTCTACCAAAATTTTCTCACAGAGCTGGGAGGAGGTTTATTATGTTCTGATGGTTAACATGTATTTTTCAATTTAAAAAGAGGAATCAGGAGATACTTCGAGCTTCTTGGAGAAGGTGGTGAATGGAGTGGATTTTAGTACTTGATATTGACATAATATATTTCTTAATATCTTAATAACATTCAGCCAAATTTAGAAGTAATTGGAAAGGCAGAGTTCCTCATGGGAAGCAGTGCACCGCGAGTGGGCATTTCCACGATGTTTTCCGAACTAGGATCCCTGAATTCAGGGAGAGTTGATCATCTTTAGTTATCCAGTTATTTCCTTGGCTAGTTCTCTTTTGGGATGCTTTGCAAGAAGAGCAAGGGATCTACTTCTAAAAAGAATAGTAAAGCAAAAGGAGGGATAGCGGTCCATTGTTCTTTCCAGTAAACTCCATTACTTCTCTTTTGTTAAGCAGAACTTTGGAATTGGTTGGTATAAACTACTTAAAAAATAGAGATGTTTTCTAGAACTATCTTACATAAAATGATGGACTATATTAGGTAATGTTGTGCTCATGTGTTTGTATAACATCAAAGGCTTCCAATTTTAAGAAGTCAAACATGGCATCAAGTGCCCAGCGAAAAAGGATGAGTCCTAAGCCAGAGCTTACTGAAGATCAGAAACAGGAAATCCGGGAAGCTTTTGATCTCTTTGATGCCGATGGAACTGGAACCATAGATATTAAGGAGCTAAAGGCAAGCTCTCCATTTATTCTTACCTTGCCTTTCCTCTGCCTTTTCCTTGTCATCCTTTTGTAACCACTCTACCTCTTTCACCCTTTTCTCCTTGAAGAAAGTAATAGGGTTGGATGTACTCTGTGCTGTTTTCTTGTCTTTGTATTATTAAATACAACTGACTGCAGCTATCAATTAGATCAATGTTATAGTGTTCCCCAATCATTTTAACATTTTATTAGATGCTGGGTTAATACCCTAAACAATCATTTTTTCTCTTACACGGTTTAAATGTACTTATTGAGATGATTCTGTTTTCATTGTAGGTGGCAATGAGGGCCCTGGGTTTTGAACCCAAGAAAGAAGAAATCAAGAAAATGATAAGCGAAATTGACAAGGAAGGGACAGGAAAAATGAACTTTAGTGACTTTTTGACTGTGATGACTCAAAAAATGGTAAGTTAGCTAAGTCAGTTGGGTGTAAATGTGACTGGGGAGGAGCAGTTGCAAGTCTGTAATGCTTCAGTCAGGAACTCAGAATTCCCACTAGTAACTCTGCAGTCTAATAAGTAAAATAGCTCTCTCTGTTTCCTCTCTGCCCCACTTCCCAAGAGGATCCTTCTATCAGCTTATGCATGTGTTTTCCCTAATTGTAACTCTGCCCACTGCTTTTACATTTTAAAAATGAATCCAGCATCTTCTCAGTTTGTACAATGTTTTATATGCAATCTGTTATAATTCCTTTTTAACTTCTGGGTTTTGTAATAATTTTATTAAGTTTGTCCTCTTTTTATATCCTGGATGATATTTACTCTTCTGGGACCTGAAGGCGCATCATTGAGATTATGTGGTGATGTGGGGACATGGGGAGGGGTTAGGAAATTATCAAAGAAGGTAGTTCCCTTCTTTGATAATTTCCAAGTCCCTCCTTGGTTTCAGAACTAAGGAAAGTTTATAATAGGAGAAATAAAACAAAAGGGGCAGCTATTGTAGATACCCAATACCTGTTGCTACATGCTTGAAAACTATGGCACAGTTCACTACAGAGGCCTTTGGCCTCTACCTGTGAACACATCACATGACCACATAGCAGCTGCACCAGGAGGCCTGCCCTCCCTACATGATACTTCGATCCTCCAGAATAAGCCCTCATGCCAATTTCTCAAGGCTTACTGCGTATGCACCAAACAGACACTTCTTCCCAGTGAATTCTGAACCACTTAGGAAATAGATATGGGATAGGACAGTAGCTAGGGAGCAAACATCATCATGGAGTGGAGAACCTGGCTCACCTGCCTTATAAACACTTGCCCCAATTCTAGACTTGAGTTAAGTTGTTGAAAATGAGAGGGTGACTGGGCAGTGGTAGGGCTGTAGGACATGAGTAACTTCAGAGTTTCCCTACTCATGTGTTTTATATTTTACTTGTTAAGTCTGAGAAAGATACCAAAGAAGAAATCCTGAAAGCTTTTAAGCTCTTCGATGATGATGAAACTGGGAAGATATCATTCAAAAATCTGAAGCGTGTGGCCAAGGAGTTGGGTGAGAACCTGACTGATGAGGAGCTGCAGGTCTGTAATGTCTCATTCTGGAACTCAGATTTTCCACCGTTGAGCCTTCTGGCTTTTCTGAGTTATATTTTCTCTGGTGGAAGCACCTCTTTGAAGGAAAGGTAGTGTCCTCTGCCCCTCTGCTGGCAACTTAATGCTGTTTTGTGAGTCTAAAAGACCTATGACCCTGCTTCCAGAAAAAAGTACACATATGTGCAAATGCACTTCTGTTTCAGGTTTCACAAATCCCTCCAGTTAGGGTGATCTTTGAGCTCTCTTCCAATTTATAATTATGACAGTGTGACTTACTTGGTTTATAAATAATTTTTCTGGAACCGAGCTACCTGCATTTGGTAGATTATAATTGTCTTTCCACATTACATTATTAGAATCCTATTGCTTAATCACCTTTTCATTTCGTTTATGAATTCACTGAAATGCAATCATTACTGTCATGCAGGAAATGATTGATGAAGCTGATCGAGATGGAGATGGAGAGGTCAATGAGCAAGAATTCTTGCGCATCATGAAAAAGACCAGCCTCTATTAACATCAGTGTCTTCTTTGCTACTGCAAGCACATGTGACTACATTCAGTGCCTGCCATTGTGTGAAATCTGGCTTTTGAGAACACAATCCTTCCCTCCCCAGACTTTTCTGTATAACTGTAGCCATGACCTTGAATCTATTTTAGTGTTTTGCAAGTGTTTTTTGATATTTAGGTCCTTTGTAAAATGATCTGCTGATTATTTTAATTCTCCAAAGCAGAAGGAGAGAACATTGGAACGGAGAAAAGGGTCTTAAAGACTTTACCTTGTATTGCTTTACTTTTATCATGCCTTTCCACATATGCAAACACAGAGCAACTTCTTAGATGAGCACATGCACCCTGTTGACACAAGCAGTGGTTGCTTATCAATGGTTTGGGTTTTTAGTTGGTACCTGAGTGCACTTTTGTCTTTTATAAAACCTAGTAAACTCTTGCTCTGGCATTTGGATGTGTTCTATTGCTGTTTGTTTTGTCTTAAAAGTGAAAACTTTCTTAGTTCGAGTTTTTGATATCTCTTAAGTATGAGTTCTTTAGCCTTGACTTTGAGATCATCTTCTAAACAATTGTTCTGTAGGCAGCCTAATAGATATAAAACTTCTCAGCCTATGGACAAAAATGAAGTAATCCTTTGCTACTTTTCTGTCACAAATTGTTTCATGCTTTGGGAACCGTGGGTTTGTAAAACTAGTAGAATTTCTGCTTCACCCAAGCCTAAATGTTGCCCCCCAAATACTTCTCTGAGAAAATGTGAAGGCTGGTCCAACCGTAGGATTCAGGTAATCTTGTGAGTGTGTTTACTTACAGTGTCTCATAGACTCTTGGTATTGAGTTGGAAAGGAAAGGAACTTTGTCTAGTTGCGTTCCAGTCACTATACATGATTACCTGCAAGGGAAGCCCTGGTAGATGGCATTAAAGTCTGCTCCAGGGTGAGGGTGGGGAGCAGAAAGGAGCGAGGGGGAGTGGAAAATGAACGATGAAGATGGAATGCTCATTCATCCACATATATATATATATATATATATATAGAGAGAGAGAGAGAGAGAGAGAGAGAGAGAGAAAATGGTTTTTCAAACTTCTGGGGTATCCTGGTCCCTGGGAATATGATTGCTTGATATAGCTAATAAAAAGAAAACAGGTAAATTTGAATTTCAGATCAGCAATGGATATTTTAATTTGTTTGATAATACTGGGGTTTGAACTCAGGGCTTCATACTTGCTAGGCAGATGCTGTACCTCTTGAGCCATTTTTGCTTTTAGTTATTTTTCAAGGTCTTGCTTTTTTCTGAGGCCAACCTTGGATCACAGTCCTCCTACCTATGCCTTGTACATAGCTGGATTACAGGTGTATGCCACCATACCTAGCTTGTTGATTAAGATGAGGTCTTGCTAACTTGCCCAAGCTGGCCTCAAACCTTCATCCTATAGATGTCTGCCTTCTGAATACCTGGGATTATAGGTGTGTGCTATCATGCTTGGCTTCATGTACTATTTTTTTGTATATCCCATTTGGACTTTTTGTTGGTTGTTGATCTGAAATTCAAATTTACCTGAGCATCTTCTATTTTCAACTGGTAGCAAGTTAAAAAGGTGTGGCCCTGGGCCTCATCCCTTGACCCTGGCATTCTGCAGAACTTAGGGGCACAGAAATGTGGACTACGTCATGCTTCCCAGGTGAGTCTCATATTGGAGTGAGGGACCATTTCTTGGGAAATGGGGTGGGAATGGTGGCGAAAAGCCAAAAGGAATTTCAGACTTGGGTTATCACACTGGTTCTATTATTTCCCGGATGGGCAATTTGAGGCAAGCTACTTCTCTGGTCACCTCAGATTCCTTGTCTGCATAATGGGGAAAAGAGTTTGTGCTGAACTCAGAATTACTAGGGTTAAATAAAGACTTACCTATGTGAAAATCAACTAAAGTCAGGTCTTTTCTGTCAAAGGAGTTAATGCGTAACTATCATTGTATAGATGCCAGCTAACCTCCCCGAATTGCTGCCTACGTGGTTTGTGAAAAGTTGCTTGACCCTGCAAGGTTCTTGCAGTCAAACAAAGAACTGTTTATCACCAGATGTCCTAATCTCAAAATGCTTGCTTACCATTTAAAAGTTTCATTTCTTTGATTATGTTAACTCCTCCGCTAAAACATTAGACAAAATGTCAGCCTGTCCTCTATCTGCAGGGGACCTAGAGAAATCCCTCTCTCACCAAGCTGTAAACCATGAGTAATCACTCTTTCACTCTCTCATTGATTTGTGAAATGTCACTGCTTCAGAAACTTTGCTCTTTTCCCAAACAATAGTTAATCCTGAAAATTGTGAACCCAAACCTGTCCATCAGGGTGAGGGGCAGACTTACATGAGGGATAAAAACTGAGTGGACTTCCCGTTCTGCCTATCAGATGATGGTCTGTGGTTGCACCCTTTTGCAGTAGTAAAGCTTCATTTTGCCTTGTTGAGTGACTCCTGAGTGTTTCTTTGATCACCATTTGGGAATGGCACTTCTAACACCTAAAGGACCTGGCCTCATAGTGTTCAAGAATAGGGTGTTTCAGAAATGGTCACTTGTCATTCCTTTGTTACAGTTATCATATAAGCTTTGTTGTTAAATGTAGGTCCATGAAAGTTTTATGATTACTGTCCTCAAGGCAGTTGACAGCATTTCCTGGGAGGATATGATCTTGTTGTATTGCTGTTTTCTAATAAGAGCATATGATCTGATAAAAGACATATAGTATTGGAAAAAAGTGAAAAGACTGGGTCTTGCCTGTAACCCTGGAAACTTTTATAAAATTAATTTATGCTTCAATGGACAAGTAAAAGTTTTGTACATATTTAGTGTATACAAAATAATGTTTTGAAAATAATGTTTACATTGTGGAATGGCTAAATCAAGCTAATTCACTAACCTGAAAACATCCCACTCTCCTCCTGCTTAATGTTCCCACACACGAGATAAAGTCTCTTTGGATTGACTCGAGGGGGTAGGAGGTGGCAAGGAACATATTATCCCTAAAAATAAAAACAAGAAGGTACTAGCCATATCTGGCAAGGCACATAATCTGTGATGGGTTCATAGTTGCTCAGTGGAGAAAATAGGGACAAAGAGAGTGTGAGTGAGCTGAGGTGGGCCGGGCCAAGAGAATTGTAAGGAGGTCTGGAAGATGGAGTACAGGAAGCTGTATCTGTCCACGTGGAGCAGAAAAGATCCCTGTAGGAGAGTGGGGCTGTGCAGATGGAGAAGGAGCTGAGGTCAGTTTATGTGGGGATAGATGGATGGGGTGGCAGAAGGAGTTGAGGTCAGTCCCTGTGTTATACCACAGAGGTGTAGGGGGAGAGAGGAAAAGAACAGCCATCAGGGTCAATGTATGTGTGGTTGTATCTGTAGAAGTAGTGTTAGAACCACTGTGAACAGTTGAATTCTTTGGTAGACACACTGGAGGTTGATATAAGTGGAATCTATCTGAGGAATTTTGTTTGGAGTAGTTTAGTTGCTGTTCTGTTCAGCATGTACACATGTTAGCAGGACACTGAAGGGCTGAAATGCAGACTGACTTTCCTGGAGGTCATTTTGAGGTCCTTTCATCCTCTATCAGATTTACTTTTTTTTTTTTTCATTTTGGCTGCTTTGATTTGTTAAATTCTATGATTACTGGGATAATAAGAAAGAACGCACATGTTATCATTTTCCTTGGTTAACCACCTCTTCAGGAAGCCTACTAATTACAATGTGAGGTTACACCCAGGTCTTTCTGGGGCTGCATGACCTCCACCACTACCGGAGGGAGATTTCTCTAAGCTAAGTGGCTTCTGAGAATGCTGAGCTTCCAGATGCAGCCTCAAGTGCTAGCTAGGATCTTTGATTCTCCTTTGGCCACCCTCAGGACATTCCCAGGTCAGATCTTCTCTCAAGCTGGCTCCTGCTGGAGGGAGTTCTTACTTTCAACCACAACCAACTTTATGTTTGCTTTAAGTTTGCTGCTCAACTTTATGTTTTGTCATACTTTCAAATACTAGAATTTTGGCAGCAGGGTCAAAAGGAGTAATATACTCAAAAACTACAATTTAATGGCAATTGTGACTTAATAACTAGTTCATAGAAAACATCTAACAAGCTGCACATTAGACACTTAGACATCCTCAGTTTGGCTAGAACTGCTTGCTCCTAGGTTTCTTGCTTATGAATCCAAGCTCCCCACAGACTGGGAAATACCTTTTTTTGAACCCTCCATTAACCATTGCATAAGCGCCTTACGGCAAGTTGCTGCCTACTCCATCTGTGTCTCATGACTCACTTAGTTCCACCCTCATCTCTACATGCTGGAAATTGCTAGAATATCCTGTCTTCAGCTGAAGCAATGGTAATCTGCCTACATGATTGCGAGTGAATCAGTGCTGCCATCCAAGGACCTGACTGGACACATTTGGTGACCAAAATCTCCCTTAGTAGCTCCCTAAACTCTTATGAGGGCCCTTGAGCCATTACCACTGTGAGAACTCAAACTCCCTCTTTTCTTGCTTTACCTCCACTGACTCCAAGTCTTCTCATCTCCAAGCCTACTCTTACCACGTCGTTTGCCTTTATCTTTCTGATTGCTGTGATTTTAGAGCTTACTGAGAATTCTACTTCCTTTTTCCCCTTGTGCCCTGAACCCATAGTGGTCACCACTACTTTCCTATGGTATTTACTCTGATCCACTCATTCTTTTCATTTCTGAAGCTACCACCTCATCCCAAATTTGAATTTTCTGCATGTCCCCGCAATTGCTTCTCTGTCCTGTCCTTGTCCCAAGACATGCTGGCTACCCTTTCTCATGTCATTCATTATCTTGTGTGGGCTTTGAAGAGTTGGTTCAAATCACACTCCTCTACTCAGCAGCTGTTGCTTGGGGGTAGGATTGATTCCTCTTGAGCCCAGGTGTTATCTAGAAACAGGGCGTGTCGTGAGGTCAAAGGGAGCTACAAATGTCAGGCTTGAGCGAAACCAACACACTCCTCTTGATATCACTGTCCATTAGCCTGTTTTTCTTTTTTCTTACCTTGGATGCACATTCTTTAATAAGTGCCTATGTGTATTGCCTTGATATAGAGTTCATTCTATCATATGTACTTCATGCCTCGCCATTGTCCCAATTGAAATATTATCCCCTTATTCTTTCCCAAACCTGAATTTTTCTCCTTATGAAATCCCTCCTTAGTACTCATCCTTCTGGAAAACTTGTTTAGCAGAGCTTCCCAGCTGTAATTCTGGAACAGAATTCTGGCCTTGCAACTATATTCTTTGTCACTAGATGGCGAACCAGGATAGGACAAGGCCCTGAGGAGCAGGCGCTCTTCGAATTCAGCAGTGTAATGGATCTTCTTGGTGCCCAGACAGCCTTGGAATATGATAGAGTGAATGCTGCAGTGGAAGGAATCCTGGTGGGACTGAGGGGCCCCTTGGAAAAGGCTACCACACATAGGCACTGATGAAATGATAGCTGTTTTGGATGGAGCCCTACAGAGGTCTAATTAAAAGAGAACACAATGACATGTCTGCATTCTGAGTATGTGCAATAAAATTGTTTACCTGCTTACATGGGCTTATTGAGATTCCCAACTACATCGAACACTTCTCAAGGGAGGGCACAGATTGTTTTGATTTCTTCATGGCCATGCTTTGTGCCTGATAAAATGCTCCATCCATAATCAGGCTTACTCATTTACTCAGTTCATTGTAAAGCTAGCAAGGATTTATTAACTCCTTAAATTTCTAGCCTTTGGTAGCTCTTTTTTCTGATAGTTTCACTTTTCCTTTGAGTTCTAATCCTCAGTCCCTATGAATGTGTACCATTTTTGGAAATACACAGGTGATCAAGTTAAGATTAGGTCATCAGGATGGGCCCTAATACAGTAGACTGGGCTTCCTTATAAAAAGGGGAAATTTGGATACAGAAATTGGCGAGCAAGGAAGACAAAGTGAATAGACACAG